TCGGAACCGGTTGTAAATTCAAGAACCGAATTGGATTTTCGTATAATATAAAACCGGTTATTAATAAGGTAAAACCGGGTTTGTTTAAACCGAATTAATTCGGATCATATTATCACATGTTAATTCGTGACGTATTAGTTCTCTGATTGGTCAGTGTCGACTATGAATATTTGATTAATCAAAGTTAGACTCAACCACTAATAAATAATTAGTCACTTCTCGAAAATTATTAATAAGAACGCAGCATTATCGAAGAAAGATTTTTGTACATATCTCAATTAGAATCGTTAAGAAATCAATTTATTTAATTTTTACATATGTAAGTTATATAATTTTGAAAAAATATACCACTTTTAGTACGTAACTTAATATTTTATACATGTTAGTTTACATTAATTATAAGCAAAAAGTGCATTATTGTTTTATATATGTAATATTAAAATAGTCAATAAGCAGAACGCAATGTATAATATATAGAAAGCTATTGTGGCGAAAATATTTCAATGTACTTACTATTTCTTTTCAAAAACAAGAATTGATTTACTAAATCTGGTGATAAACGTGTCCTTTTTGCTGTGATAAGATTTCCTGCATCAGAAAATAATCTTTCAGATGGTACTGAAGAAGCCGGAATTGAAAGATATTTTCTAGCTAGTTGTGCAAGAATTGGTAATTCAGATTTATGTAATTGCCACCATTTTATTGGATCATCGTCAAGCTCAATATTATCCAATATTAAGTAACGTGTTACTTCGTCATATTCAGTAAATTCTAATGCCTGACGAGGTTTAATTTTTAACTGACCAAAAAATTCATCATCTTCATCGTGAGTCTTTGAATTATTTACAGGATTATCTAAATCATTATTTAAATTTAATAACTCAAGAGCTATTTTTAGTTCCATATAAGATCGTTCAAGTAATCTTTTTGCATGATTCAATTGATTTGGTGCCCATTGAAAGGTTTTAAAACGTGGATCAAGGATAGACGCAATTAAGGCCAAGTCAGAAGGTATAGCCCAAAGCTCATCCAAAGATAAGAAAATTGCAGCACGAACATTTGTTAATAAGCCATTAGTATTAACTGCAGGCAAGTATTCAATTTGATTACTGGTACTATCTAAATTATTTGTTTTTTGTTTTTTTTTTAATTGCCCCTTTTTTTTAACTACAGTAGTTCGTCTTTTTTTTCTTCCCTTTTTCATATGCTGCCGAAATTGCCTGTGTGCATATTGCCAATGCCTACGAGTACCACCACTTGGAATATTATCATCGCTACTAATAGAATCAGAACTATAATTAGAACTATTGTCACTATTTTCATCAAAATTAGTACTACCATATATTAAATCGAGATAAGATTGTTTTGTTTCTCCTAGATCTGATCGTGGCACAAATGAGTTTTTGAGAATTTCCATATAAGGGTGAATCATACTAAATGTAGCATAGTTTGAACCAGAAATACGTCGTGTAATTTTTTCAAAAGGAGCTAACATATTTACTATATTGTTAAGAAATCTATATGTATATAATTGGCAATTATATATTAATTTATCTTGTACGTATTGACAATTAATTTACTAATTATAGAAAACAATAGTTACTTACATCTTTTCATCTAAAGTAAGACATAATCGTTCTAATTTTTTACCTTCTTTTTGTAATAAACGATCAGAACTTAAAAGTAAAGAATTTGAAACATGACGCATGGCATTATGAAGTTCTAAGACACGTTTCCAAGTATAGTATGTCGAATTCCATCGTGTCTTAGTATCAACCAAAACATCTAATGGATTTATATTAGAACTTAGTTGAGAAGAAGAATCAAGTTCATTTTGTGCAAGACGAAGCCTTTCAGCTTGTTTTGGAAGTTTAAAGAAGGTCTGTAAATTTTTTACTCGTTGATGTAAGTCTTTACACTGTTTAAGACCCTCAAGTACAGAAAGTTGTAATGTATGAGCTACGCATGGTTGTCTAATAATATTAGGAAAATAATTTTCTGAAAGTAAATTTATTCCACGAATCATATTTGATCCATTATCTGTTATTATAGTAAAAATAGAGTTTTGTAAACTCCATTTTTGAATTACTTTATATAATTCTTGACTAATAATTTCACCCGAATGTGGATATGGCAAATGCTCACATTTTAAAAGAACTTCACAAAATTCAAATTCTGGAGTTAACCAAGTTCCAGTTATTCCAAGATATCCATGTCGTGACTTTGAAGTCCATAAGTCTGTAGTAAAATGTATTGTTTCTGCACTTTCTTTTAACATAGATTTTAGTTCATTTTTACTTGATTGATATGCCTTATGAATTATATCTTTTGCAGTTTTTATACAAGGAATTTTATATCCAGGTACACATGCTGTCATTAAATCTTTAAATGATTCTTCTTCTAAGATATACAATGGTTGAACAAATTTAATAACAAAAGTTATTAACTTTTGAGTTACAAGCTCTTGTTGGTCTGGTGAACAATAAGGTGTTGGATCACGCGTTTCAGTAAGTAGATCTTTTAACTAATAATAAAATAATTAATGTAAAAGATAAAAGATTAAATTGTTAATTTATAAAAATTAAATACATTACTTCATAATTAGCATCCAGATATTCGAGATAATTTATTTTAGTAATACTGTGTTTATCTCGTAGATGATTAATTAAATTAGATGTATTTCCACCCTTTTTTGTATATGGATAAGGTTTTTTATTGCTACCAGCTAAGTTATTAGTACAAATTTTACAGTAAACAATTTGTGAATTTGTTTTATTTTCCTCAAAAAAGTAGATTGTATGACTTTGATTTGCTCGTGGCTTATGGTAAGTTTTTTGTTTTTTTTGTATATTTTTAATATTTGTAGTAGAAGAATCGGAAAGTTGATTATCTAAAGACGAATTCAGAGACTCAGAATGTTGCATTGGCTCAAAATTAGAAGAATTGGATTCCATATTTTTTTATTTTTTATTTATTAATTTAAAGAAAATACAAGTTGGTACAATTTATTATTTATAATCTATGTTATTAAAGAAATAATATAATACAGTAATGTCTATCTATCATTTTGATAACCATATAATTTCGAAGCTTCGTATTTACATTATCTAATTACATATATGATATTAATTTACCTAATCAATTAAACAAAAGGAACTGTAACCAGTGAGAGATTATATCTGTAACATGGGACAACAAAGTAATCCTAATATAAATAATTTTTTTCGGAACTAAATACACCGTGTGTAGAATTAATATATAACAATTAACAGTTCCTCAAGTTAATCAATTAACAATCAATTCATAAAAATAGATCATCTCAAAATCGGGAATAGCATAAAACCGAATGAAAGGTTTAAAAACCGGGTTGTCGGAGTTTGCAACCGAATTGGAGTATTATATAACCGATTTTCTATGAAAACCGGTTTAACCCGAATTTATAGTCGAATTGTAAGAACCGGTTCCGACCTCTAGATTATATATAGATTTTTTTTTTAATTTAGATGATTTTGTTTTTTATTTTATTAAAATAAATACTAGATTAATATTAAGACAAATATATAAAACTAAATCTACTTTAATTTTAAAACTGCTTTTTTTGTTACAATTCTAAATTTATTTATTATCTATTTTATATTCAAATACAATTTGCTATAGTAGTATTTTTTTCTTAAAACTAAAAACATATCTAAATATAATACTTTAATCTCAATTCTCAAAAAACTACTAGTTTATATTAAAAAAGTTTATTTATTTTTAAATTTTAACTATTTTTTTTATTTTTTTTTTATAATCTAACTTATGATTTTGTTCTTTAACTTCTTTAAAATTCTTTAAAGATGTTTTTTTGTTTTAATTTCTTAAAACAAAATTATTTCTTTTATTCATTATATTTTTTTTCTTTTTCTTATTTTATATTAATTTTTATTTTATTTTATAAATTAATAACATTTTTTTTTTTCTAGTTAATTATAATTTTATAGTAAATTTCTATAGCTTTTTATAAAAATTAAATTAAAAAAATTAATAAACTAGCAAATTATTTGATTTGTTTTAGAGATAAAATTTAGAAGTTTTTTAACTTTTTTAATTTATTTTTTACTTATAAAGCTTTATAGATATAGTTTTTTTTTTAAAATTTATTTATTATCTTAGTTTATATATAAAAAAATTTTTTTAAACTTAAAATAGATATATTCTATTTTTTAAATATTTTAAATATAAGTTTTTACTATCTTTTAAATTGTAGACCAATGTGAACAAATTTGCCTATGTTTTTGCATTTATTCAGCTTTAATTTATTTTTTTAAAATACAAAAATATTAAAAAAATAATTATAGATAATAAAATTTGAAAATAAAGATTATTTTTTTGTAGTATTTGTTTTTATATTATAAAAAAAAATTTAGAGTTATATATGAACTAAAAATAGCTAATTTTATAAAAAAAAATTTTGCAAAAATTTTATTAATATTTCAAGATGAACTTGTTTAATTTAAGTTTTAAAGATATAATTTATTAAGCAATTTGATAAAACTTTTAAAAAATTACAATTTTAATTATTACAACTTTTGTGATTTATTTGTAAAAATTTATATTTGTATTAGAAGTAAAAATTAGTTTTAGTCTTATTTATATATAAAATCCAAAAAATTTAACTAAAAATTTTATAGTAAAAATTTTCAAAACAAAACTTTAAAGATTTATTACTCAAAAGTTTTATAATAATTTTAAAAAACTTTCTTAACTAAGTTGTTAAAATAAATATTAAAAAATATATTTTACTTAGAAAGTATATATTTAAAGTTAATATTTAAAGTTTTATTTAAAAATTACAAAAATTAAAAATAAATACAGACAAATTTGCTTGTATTACAAATTAAAGAATAGGAGTAGTATCAAGTATGTCTATATAGTCTAATAGAGTAATATATAAGTTTGTCCATATTTGATTTATTCTACTATAATAATTTTTATAAAAACAACTATATTTATTTTCATCAGAATAAAATAGTCTATATATATTATAGAAATTTGATTTGAAAAATTTGATAAGTTGAGATTTTAGTAGATATAATTTTTTTAAAGAAAAGTGATCAATTTTTAGATTTGATATTAAGTTTAGATCTTCTATTAAAATAATTTTTTGTTAATACTTTGAATCAATGAGGTAATTTGGTCAAATACTTCTTTTCTAAGTTTATATTTTTCTTGTATAGGAAAGTAAATTTGTATTAGTTAAATAGGAGATATTTAGAATGAGAAGTCTATAAATATTATATATTCTTTATATTTATAGACTTTGCTAATAAATTTTAAGATATTGTTATGAATATAGATTTCTACTTCTTCTTGTCTAAAGTTAGTAAATTTACTCTAGTAGTTTGTATAACTTATTAGATCTTTGAAGAGTTCTAAAAATTTGATATTTTTTGTTTTTAGATATATTTTTAAAAGTTCAAATATTTATGTATTAGATTCAATAATAAAGTTATAGATAAGAATTTATTTTGAGTATGAACTGAAACTATTAGTATTTAAAAAACAAATTTTAAGAGAATCTAAGTTAAAGATATTATTAAGTGATAATAAACACTAGTTGAAATTTGAAAAAATAGTACTAAATCAGCAAATATTCACCATAACATTTAGCAACTATTCAGTAAACATTCAGTAAATATTTAGCTGCCATTTGGTACAATCACTGCTACTTGGTATTTGTGAATACCAAGTGGCAGCGATTGTACCAAACAGTAGCTAAATGTTTACTAAATGTTAACTGAATGGTTGCTAAATGTTATGCTGAATATTTGCTGATTTAGCGCTGTTTTTGCAAATTTTAACCAGTGAAATGAGAAGAAGAGTTAGTATTATTGGATCATATTGGTAAATTATAGAATTGTTGTTGTTTATGAATTGGAAGTAATATATGATTAAGAAGTAAAGATTCATTATTGTTAATATATATAAGAATTTTTGTTTTAGTAAAGTTAATAGATATTTTGTAAGACAAAGAAAAATTATTATAATTAAGATATTGAATAACAGATTTAAGTGTTTAGTGATTGCTTAGTAGTGGTATATTATGATATTTGAAGAATTTGTTGAAGCATGTAAGTTCTTTAGTAGAGGTTGAAGTAGTAGAAACTGAGGAGAGTTAGGGTCTTCTGTAAATATGCTCACCGTATACTTGGCTCTCACAGTTGCGGAGGGTGTCATAGTCTGCTCTGTATGTTGAGTCTGACTGTCATAATCCTGATCCTTCGCGTAGTTTATATTATTAATTTATGATTTTTCTTAATAAATAAAAAACAAAATCACTTAAATTAAAAAAAATAAAAAAAGATAAGAAGTAACTTGAAGCACTATAATATTACTAACGCTAATACTAATTAATAATTAGTATTACATACTTTTATTTTTAAAAATTATTACAAATTACCAGTAGCTAAAAAACTCTTTAATAATATATGTTTTAAAATTAAATTATAAAATAGCTTGTTTAATAACTTTTTTATTTTTATCTATAACCTTGAAAAAGTATTTTGCATTTAAAAATCCATTAATACCTTCAGTTAATATAACACCATTAGTTGATCTAAAAAATCTAATACCGTCTTTTATAAATGGTTGTTTTAAAATAAGTTAATTAGATCTTTTAAAATTTTAATGAAAGACAAAATTAAAGCTTCTAATAGGCCGATCCGCGTAACGCTCAACACGAACCCGGCCTAACCCGTCTTGGGCTCAACACGACTTGGGTTTGAACCGCCTTGGGTTCACCCAAACTCGGGTCGGGTCAGATATGGGTCAATGAATTTACTTTATGTACTGAGTATGGTTGTTCGAAAGCATACATTCTGAAATTTTGGTCGATATTTTTTAATGCACTTTATGTCTAACGCTTCACGAATAAAAATGTTTCGAGAAGGAAAAAACTCATGCAAACATAAGACACAAAACGTATTAATTTGTCCAAATTTCTGAAAATTTCAAAGAGTAAATTGTCTCTTGAATAATTTTACATATATAGGTTCGTTTGTCGTTCATTAACAATAAAATTTATGGCAAACGAATCTATCCATTTTTATCGCTATTTTTGTATTCTAGAAATAATTTACATCTATCATGAAATTTTCAGCGAATTTGGATAAAGTATTGCATGATGTTTTCTTTCAATGCATTTTTTAACGAAGAGTTACATCAAAGTCATTAATAAATGTAGTCCAAATTTATGAAAATTTTAGGGGTATATGCATTCTAACTTTATGAATAACTTTACTTAGTAAGTAAAGGTTGATTTCATTGCCTGAATATGACCCGGCTTAAATTTTTCTGAACGACGGAGTTTAAACCCGGTTTGAGATTTTTCTTAATAGGTTGAACCCGGGTCAGAAAAATCTCACCCGAACTCGACCCGGTTGGGTCGAGTCTGACCGACCGACTAGGAGAACTAAGTAAAATACTAACCTTCCATAGCTTTTGGAACATTAATATATATAAACAAGTCACAATTCTTCCTCATACCTCAATAAAAAAAAAAAAAAAAAGATTTGAATAGTAAATTAGAAACATTGTCAAGTTTATAAAGCATATATCAATAACTTACCACTTATAACACCTTCGTCTCTAAATAGTCCGGTAGCAAGGTGAATATGGTTGCGATTCATCTTTGAAAGGCCCTGCGATTCTATAATTCAACCTAAATTTTAATTAAAAATAATAATGATAACTAAATATATAGAATTAAATTAAAAATAAACCTATATCTTTCCAATGGCGCAAATATGTTCCGTGTATAACTTCTGGAAATTGCAAAGGATCTGTGATTTCTTCAAGCTCCAATTCCCTCAACTATCAGTTATAAAATTTGAGGATTAAATAAAAAATTTTCTTCAAGATCCAATCCTTAAACCTATAAGGGCACTGACATTAATAACGTAATTGTTAGGGGATATCTTGCGTTATGTCAGCGCCCTAAATTATAAATTGCTGAAAATAATTCAAGACTAAATGTAAGAAATATAGAAAATACCTCAATACTATGTCCTTGATTTGCTCGTATCCACCATGCTGAAAGCCCATCATCTGATATTTCTTGTGTCAAAGTGAACCGCATTTTATCATTGTTATCAACAACTAATTTAATATCATCAAAGGTCGTTCTTTTGAACCGCGGTAATTTTAGCTGAACCAGTAATAAATAAAAAATTGAAACGTAAAATTTTTTTATTGATAAAGCGAAAAATATTTAAGTTCGACTGTAACATACCAGGTCGTCTAATTTGACATACCCGTCTTCACGAATGTTTAGACCCTCGTCTTTAGCATGGTGTCGAAGGACGTATGACAAGGATTTTGACAGTTTTACTGTCTGCGTATCACGATGATCACGACGATCACGACGGTTGTCTTTAGAAGACATGATTAATATCTGATAAGATAGCTAATAAACACTTCTTTACATTAATTTGAACTAAACTTTTCGTATGATCACAACCAATAATCACCTCTTTATTATAAGCAGAGAGAAAGTAATGCATTTTAGATCATGTATATCAATAAAAATGGTCAATCACGAGTTGTGGAGTCATCTTCACGTGAATATCATCACACATGATAAAATTTACCGGTATTATTTTTCACTTAGCGTTAGAAACAATATATTAACAACTATTTGTATTAAACACGTTAGTAAAATCTCAATATGTGAAACTTTACTAATAATTATTTATTTATTTTCCTAAATATATATAATTATTATAATAGGAATGGGATTTAAAAAATTTTTTCACATTACTCAAACCTCAAATGAAGTAATATATTTGAAAAGAAGTCTATTAAAAAAAATTGAATGTGACATTCTAAATTATCGTAAAAAAACCAAAACAGTACAAAAATTGCTAATGAATTATAAACATTTACATAGAAAATTAAAAATAAAATAAATGAAAGTGTAATAATATACTTTTCCACCGTTTATTTTAAAATAGTAATGCATCGATTCCACCTTCAGCTGCTTGTTCCTGTTAAACAAAAATAAATTGTCAAGCTCAAAAGTAATTATCAATTGAGAATAAATTATATTAAATAACTAATTAAACAAACCTTAACAAACATTTCGAAGTATGAATATATGATTGTAACTGCAAGCAGTATACCAGTACCAGATCCAAGGGCGCCTATAAACAAAAGACAAAAAATTAGAAAGTCAGACCTTAAAAATATCAATGAATGAAAGAAACATACCAAGCAAATCAGCAAGAACCGACAAGGCACCAATGCAGGCACCACCAAAAGCTGCGGCCGTTGGGATAATACGCTTCAATTCTTTGTATGTTGAGGTCTCACGATGTCCAGCCATTACCATACCCTGATCCTTAAGCTGTTTTGCTACTTCACGAGGAGAGGAACCAGAGACTTCAATCCAAGTTTTTGAGAAAAGTGCGCATGCGGTCAACATGAAAACGACATATACAACGGTATGAATAGGATCCAAAAGAGCGTCTTTGATACTATGAGGAGGTGACATAAAATAGGCCAAGCCGCCTGATGCAAATAATTGGGAAGAACCTTCATGCGGCTACATAAAAATGAGAAAATTTAATCATATTACAACAATGTGCACAAATGAAATTAAAAAATAATAGTGTGCTCACAGTCCAAACACCAAGAATACGGATTAAAAGATTATCGGGGAATCGGGTGTATAACATTTGAGAGATTAAGAAAACGTTTGTGGTAAGGGCCGATTGAAGCATAATGGGCATGTTTGAGGTATAGAAGAGCTTAATTGGATAAGTTCCTCGTTGACCACGAAATCGATTAGATTTAACGGGAAGTTCAACGCGGAAACCTTGAAGGTAAATGACAATGCCAAAAACGACCACGGTAGCTAATAGGTTCATAACATTTGGTAAATTTGTACGATAAAAGGCTTCTTTTAAAGCGCGAAGTTTGTCATTGCGGGTAATAACCAAATAGAATAAAGCAATGATAGCGCCTTCAAATTCAGGACCTCGACCAGTATTGACAGTAGTCGGACTGAACGCTTTCCAAACAATAGATTCACAGATGTTGGTAGCAATGAAAAGAGAGATACCAGAACCAAGACCATAACCTTTTTGCAAGAGTTCGTCCAAAAGCATAGAGATAAGACCAGCAAAGACAAGCTGAATGATGAGTAATAAACAGACACCAGCACCGATTTCGGAAGGATCACCATACAACCCAGTCATTACGGATACAGTGGCTTGACCAAAAGCAAAAACCATGGCAAAAAGTTTTTGAGCGCCGCTAAACAAAGCACGATCTTCTTTCAAACTGAAATCGACCTCAATGAGATTGGCGCCGGCAAGAAGTTGCATTATCATTCCCGAAGTTACAATGGGAGTAATACCGAGTTCCATCAAAGTACCTCTATTTGAAGCGAGAATGACACGCAACCAATACAAAGGATCTGAAGAATCAGAGGACATGATGCCATATAATGGAATTTGTGAGCACACAAGGAAAATAAAAAGTGTGACAGCCGTCCATAGTACTTTTTGACGGAAAGGAACCTATAAAGATATAATTTGTTATCATCTCTAGATTTTCAAAGAGATATAGAAGAAAAACTAAACTCAAATATTCATCGTTATACCTTTCTGTCTGGTGCAGTAACCTCTGGAAGTATGGCTATAAAAGGCCGGATGAGATTTAGGAATCGGACTATAAAATAATAATAAAATTACTTGGTGATTTAGTATCTTTCAAATAATGTAGGTTCAATAATGCGAAAATTAATAGTGGATACATACGACCCATTGAAAACAGTTAGCCGGAAATCAAAAAAAGAAAAAAAAACCGTAGTTAAAGAATGTGAGGTGGAATTTGAAATAATAAAGGAAGAAAAAATAAGTCTTATATGTACATGAAAAAAATTAAACTGAATCTAACTTTAGAACCAATTAAATTCATCCACGATTTATTTGCATCTTATCCATAATTAAATTTGAATCTGTTACACGTAATATTCTCCGATTGGTGATTTGTTCTTACCTGTTACTTTTTTTACTCGATCTTTTTCTATTAGTTCAATAAGATATTCTGAAATGGCACCTCCACCTCAATTTATAGTCGGATCGCCCATTAATAGGGGACAAGGCTCTAGTGGTAACAGCAATGGCAACTTCTTTACCCGCTTTCTACGTGATGAGATCTTTGCTCCTGAAAAACGCCAGGGTAACATTGACATTATAATCTCGGTTGGTGTGTTCGCTGCAACTATTTCATTTTTGCAAAATTACCCCGATCTAGTGTCTTGCGGACTTTAGGATGATAATAGGTAAAAGTTTAGTAAAGCACGATACTGGCCTCTTTTTATCTTACAATGTGAAAATTTTAATTAGTATTCCCTATTTGATCTTTCAAAAATAATATATAGTTAACGAAATTATTTTTTTGTTTATCTCCTTTAGCTTCGCCTTTATTAAAGTTCAGATACAGTCGTTCTTCATATTTAGCCAGGGGTTTCGACTTTCGCCAGGGAGCCTTTCGTCTTTCGCCAGAGTTTCGTCAGTTTCGCCTTTTTTGGGTTTAGGTTTCGTCAGTTTCTCCTTTTTTGGGTTTAGTTTCACCGAAGGGAGGTTTTTTAATTTTATAAACTTGTAGCATATATTTACAGCATTTATTTTCAAAAAAAATTTATTTGTAAATGACAAAAAACAATTTAATGACCTCGTACACGAAGAAACACCCATTTAATAATTTTATTAAGGTCGAATGTGGTTCGATTTTTTGATTATATGAAGCTGATTATGGCCTAAATTTACACGAGTTAACTGTATTAATTAGGCCACACAAACCTACATAATTGATTTTCATATCATTAACTAGCGTTTAGTCACACGGCCGCACGGCTTTTTTTTTTTTTTTTTGTAAAAATTTTTTTTTTTACAGCTGTTTTTGGGACATCTAGTAAAAAAAATTGACTGAATGATTGTTTGACTGATTCGATAAGATTTTGATTTCGGTAATGATCTGTACAGGGAAACTTGTATGCATCGGACCTTACAATAAGAGACGCAAGCGATAATTAGCGTTGACAGTATTTTTGAATGTCATCAAGAGAGAACTTGTCATCGGGCTTTCAAATATATTTTTATCGGTCACAATCAGTATAATTGTTAAAGGTCTTCATATATAACCAAGTTAAAGGTTCTTTAGTCATCAAATACATTTTTCAATACTTTTATCTGATTCTTACTAGTTTTCTTTTTGACTTATATTTTGTAATAATTATTATTTATTATATAAAACTTTTAAATAAAATATTATCTGATTTTGTTAATTATAATTCTTAATACAATTTTGACAAAAATCTTGATTGTTTAGAATAATAATTTGTGTTATGATTAGTTTTACATTATATTGTTATAATAAAATTTATTAATAAAGATTTTTTAGCTAAGTAATAATTTTATAGTAATTATAACAAAATTTTAAATAGATATATAGCTTTAATGGCTCGATAGATTTGAATAAAATTTGCAAAAACTAGTATTATGTCTTTATAAACAAAGCTATAGAGTTATTTCTTTAAAAAAGAAGCTAAATAAGTTTTTTTTTTGTAGATTAAAGTTTTTTTTATGTTTAAATAAAAGAAATAGCTTTATAGATTTGTTTATAAAGACTTAATATTAGTCTTTGCAAAATTTTATTTAATTCTATTAAGCTATTAAAGTTATACATTTATTTGAAATTTTAGTATAATTATTATTTAATTAAAAAAAATTTTTTTTTTATAACTTGAATGATTTTACTTGTTACTTTATTAAAGAAAACTTATAATAAGTATAAAACTAATCTATATATAAGTATATAAATTAAATTTTCTTATTACTGTTTCAAACTAACTCAGTTATCTTAAAAATATTCAAGTTTAATCTGCTGCAGAAGTTTATTTTCTCACAAAAACTTTAATCTGTAAAAACAGATTTTTTAGAATTTGATTAATGATAACAACATATCAAGATTTTAGATCTCTTTTAACTTAATTCATACTAAGCTTAAAGTAGTTAATATCTAGTTTTAAAATATAAAAAAGTTTAAAAATTATTATATATAATAGAATCTAACTACATATTATATTGTTATAAAATAGGTTTTAGTATATTTTTTAATTATTATATTATTATATATATTTAGATTTTTTTTTTTTTTTAACCTTTCAGCAATCATGTCACAACTTTATTGTAGTAATTAGAAAGTCTCTACTAGGGTTCTGATATTTAGTTCGAGTTCAGTTTGGTTTAAATTGAACTTGAACCTAAACTGAACTCGAATAGCAAATTTTACTAATTTCAAACCTGAACTCGAACTCAAACTTATAATTCCCAAACTCAAACCAGACTCAAATACAGTAATAAGTTTGGTCTGAGG